TTCCCTAATGTTCCCCCCCCACTGTGTCTATGGAAAAAACTGTGCATTTGTAGTTCCTCTTTTTGCTAGTCCTTTGCAGCACTTGTTCAGAAGTTAGCTCACTTAGATTTAGGAAAGCCTTATCTTCAGCCTTAACTGTTTGAAGGTTATTTTTTTTTCTTTTACTTTAACTCACAAAGTTTATAATATGCCTTGGAATAAAAGGCACTGTGAGGCATGCAGTATGCATCCAGCAGTCAGCATTCCCTTGTCTTACGAATGCTTTGCATGAAATACGCCAACAGTGTTTTTAAACTGATAAAGTGGATATACCGAGATTGCTAGAACACCATAGAAGGATTTAACCCAACAGAGCTACTTAGCAGGACATGGAGGAGTATTATCAAGTCACGGGAGCTCTGCCAACCAGATCTGTATTTCATTGTGTCAGATAACTTTCCCATTAGAGCACACGAAGTAGCGTGTCCCACGTCTCTTCAGAAGTGAATGAACTGCATAGTCTTTTGCATAGTCCTTTGACATACTTGAGCCCACCTGTTGCCATCTTCTCCTCTCTTCTGGTGTTCGCCTATCTGTTTCTGTTCCCTTCTTTCAACGTCTGGAAAAATCTGCTCACACTTCACAGAAAAGTGAAGAGGTCTACTTCCAAGGAGCTGTCATGTACAGTGAACAAATTGGAGAGAGAGACAATTGTAGTTTTTAAATTTAAATGCTAGCCAATGTTTCTTTTTGAAGAACACAATGGAAAGTGTGTTTGGTTTTGTTTTTTTTTTTTCTTTCTTCCCTGAACAGAGAAATATAAAATATGGGTTGAACTTGGACTGGTTTTCCCACATGTGTAATGCAGAAAGTATGCTTTCAGGCACCTTAACAGCTGCCTGCCCACCTTTTGCTGTTTCAGCTGCTTTTCAATTGAACGTGGGACTGTCTCTGGTAACGTCTGGGTAGTAGCTTTTGTAGTAGACTCTTGATCCAGATCTTAGTGCTTTCTTCTCTGTGCAGAATCCACCTTAATCACAGAAATGTGTCTGGCGTAGGTCGAAGTTCCAGTGGTTAGCAGAGCATTCTTTGTGCTTAGGGTTTTTTTTGTGTGTGTCCTAATGAGGCTTTGGTTTTAAAAAAGCAGAAAGAAAGTAAATAAAACAAAAGTTTACAAGTAAAAAGCATTTAGAGAAGAAATGAGCATAGGAAAAAAAAAAAATCAGAGTCTCAACCTGGAGAGCAGGAAGAAAAAGTGCATCACGTAGCAAAATATCAATATAACCATAGAGATCGTTTATTAGGATGTCAGATGATGAAAAGGATGAAATCCTTTGCTAAACTTGTTAAGCTTCAGTTTAGATTTTCATTTGAACCTTTGAAATCTTAATGTATACGTGTATATATACTCATAAGCATATAGCTTCAAAGTACCTGTGTGTTCATTCAATGAGGAGAATTGCTCTCTAGGCTTGTGTTTCTCTCCACTGTTGGGGCAGATTGTTTTATCTGTGTTGGATTCTCCCTGATCCAACTGATGAATGGATTAATCTGTTGAAGTTTACTTAGTGGAGGAAAATGGACCAAAAAGAGCTGTGTCCACTGTGCAACAATGTGTTTTTCTGGGCTGGTTTGTTCAGATGTCCAGTGAATCTCTGAATTGATAAAATGATGTTGGCAACATCATGTTACTGATTTCGATTGTTGCAACTGTAACTTCTGCGTGACTATTCTGTATCTCTTGTTCCTCTCGTGAGAGCTGAAATATTCTTTCAAATGCAGTTAAATTTAAATATTTAAAAATAATTTGAAATGTGGAGTTGACAAGAAAAAAATGTGATCATAACACATGTTTAGTAATTTTCTTTGAATCAACTGTTGTTCTTCCTTCTCTTGGACAGGTGTATTTTCCTGGATGGTTACATCTCAAGCCATAATCTACTATAATTTATTATTGGCTTATTGCTAGAGCAATTCGTACTGTCTTTTTTTTTTTCCTTTTTCCTCCCTTCCTCTTTTGACTTGCAATACATTTCTCTTATACGTTTCTGATGCTACATTTTGTGGTTCGGGTAGTCTTCTAACACACTAGTAACTTATTTTAAGTTGTTACAAGAATTCTACTGTAAAAGAATGTGCAGCATGTATTCTTTTTTTTCCCCCCTTCTTTTTAAGTTCTTTCATGCCGTCTTTTTAGCAGATGATACTTGAACCCAGAATGAGTGTAAAATTTCTGAAAAGCCTTCCATAAGGCTATATCCTAATATCACGGGATAAAATCGGAAGACTTGCTTGTTGAATTTGTGACTGATGCATAAACACCTTGCTTTACTTAATTTTTTAAAATCTAGATTGCACTGTTTTAATAAGAATAATGTGGGATAACGTGTCCTTAGGTTGATATACTTCATCTTGTGCATTTTCTACGCTTTCAGGACTCCTCCTGTTCTTTCGAGGCTTTGTTAATTATCTTAAAGTCAGAAATATGTCTGAAAGCATGGCAGCTGCTCACAGAACAAGATTTTTTTTCTTGTACTGAAGGTAAGCAATTTTTAGTCATAAGATTATCTCTCCCAGGAAAACTGAGAAGAATGAAATACTTGTATTAAAAATGAATAATCAAACTTCTGTCACAAAACAGAAGTCGCATGGTTTTTGAAAATCTGTCATGAATGTTGTATATATTCTACATGGACTTGGAAATATCTCAAGTCTCTTGAAGTCATGAAATTTGGAAGTAAATAGTGCGTCCTTTTTGCCTCCAGCCCTCCCTGGAACTAATGTTCAGTAACAAAAACGAAGAGGAACCTGTTGTTTTTCCTAAGCAAGAAACAGTATCTGCTGCCTGTCAGGATACTGTCTTTTGTGTTAGAAAACTGGCTTTAGTAGTCAACCTGTTGTCAGCGAGTTAGGAAGCACTAATCTGCCTGCATATTAAATCTGATTGACATGGGTCTGAACATGCAAACAATAGATGAGTATTGTCCCTCTTTATATGACTGGATTAAGACAGTCATGTACAAGTATGATTATTGTGTATGCAACAGTGTGCTTTATATATCCTTCAGGTAGCTGACTAATCAGTCTGGCACAAATCCACTTTTTTTTTATATACTTTTTATCCTTTAGGTGGATCTGTTGGACTTCACTATGTAACTTAAACTGCACGTATCTGTTTGTGTTCAACTTTTTTAACTTAAACCGCATGACAAGATAAATTTAAGCCTAGAAATAAGTACCGTAGCATTTTCATTACTCTGCAGTTTACTTAAAATGCTTAAATACTGTATTTTGACCTAACTGAGAGGCTATGTTTGCTAATGTAAAGCAGGTTTTTGTAACTTTTCTCGAAGTCACAGGATCAATATGAAGTAACCAGCAACACATTATTGAAGCCTGAACAAAACTGAGACAGTATTTGCCTAGAAAAAAATGGTTCCTTTTATATAAGTTAGTGATATGCATTTAAAAACAGCTAATGATTAATATCTATGCTATACAATATAGTTCTTGATCACGGAAGAAATCTGTTAACGTAACGGTAACATGATATTTCTTTTTAATGTGCCATTTTGTCAAAATTATACAGTAAGTTAAAGTTAAATAACTAAAGTGTATATTGCCTTTTAGTAACCAACCTAAATTGGCATCTACATGGCAGCATGTCCTTTTTACAATCGTTACATATCACTCCTTGTCTAAGTAACATGGTAACCTCTTCATAATACAGGAATTTGTAGAGATGAGACTGGAACTATTTGTTAGCTTTCAGTACAGTAAAGTTTAAAAATACTGTTTAAAAAATAATTGTGAGGACTAACTGGTATTTGAAAACTGTAGCTTGAAGAGAATAATGAAAGTGTAGGATAATGTGGTCTGGGATTCTTTGCTCTCCTGCAGCTAAAATTTTGCTTTAGGACAAAACACTATTTTATTCAGCATTAATTGAAGTTAATGAGTTGTCCTATCAGAGTTCAGTGGCTTTGAATTTTTCCTTTACCTGTAAGCATCACTGAGATGTCTCGGCTGATAAGGTCTGTGGAGTGTTTAGAGAGCTGCACACATACTTTTTTTTTTAAGCTTCCTAAGTATTGAAACAAGGAGTTCAAATTAATTGCTATCACACTTAAATGTCCTTGTTCTTGCATAGACAGGTAACTTCCTCTACGGTGACTATTAGTTTTAATAAATAACAAATATTACCTCTACAGTTACAAAATATTCTCAGGTGTTTTTTTGAAATGATAACAAAATAACAGTAAGTTTTTGGGTTTTTTTTTCTCCCATCCTGATACGGGGGGGAAAAGCCTGCTTCTTTGCTGCTTCTAGGTTTAACGTCAGTTAGCGATGCTACTTCTAGTGAGTCACCGCGATGAACTGAAGTACAACTCTTTCTTTATCTTCAGACTGCATCGAACAGACATTCCTTTCCTATACCAGTGTGAAACTTCCAGATGATCTGTAACCCTCCGAGTTAATAGGATAGAAGACTACTAAAACCAGAAGACAAATTAGTGAAGATACGGCTTCAAAAATGAATGACAGGATGGTTATGCTCAAATACCGGTTCTGGTCATTCTAGTAATTATTTGTAATTGCTGCCTTTTGTTTTAGCACATTTGTATATGTGCTTATTAAAAAGATAGTACTAAAGTAAGAAAACCCATCTGTTAGTATAGATTAGGTACAGTCAGACTTGGTTAATCTGTGCTTCTTTTATCTGAAAGATTTAAGTGGTAACTTGTTTCACAGCGTGTATGTACCACTGACTTGTTGGTCTGAACTTTGAGTACAACGAAATGCATTAAATGATTCACATTAACCAGTTCAGACAGTTTTTTATATAATTCAGATTCATCTAATGATTGTGTAGAACATTTTTAAGTTTACTAAACCCCAAAGTTCCTTGTTGTCACAAACTTATATTCGCCGATATTTTATCAAATTCAAACCAATATACTGGTTTGCTTGAAACTGATACTCCACTTTGAGTCCCCTGTAAATAACTCTGCATAAATGACTGTTTGAATTGCTTCTTAGGAAATATGTCAAAATATATTTTGTAACGGCATATTCTCTAGATTTTGTTAATTGGCTATTAAGGGTATAGTTACTATTAGATGTAATTTTGGAGGTAAAGGCATTGAATTGTTTGTCTCATCCTAACTTTCCTCACATGAATTATTATTATTAACTGGTTTGGGCTTGAGCCTGAAAGTCGTTATTCATATGCATGATCCCATTAAAAAATAGAGTTTGTTCATATTAGCAGGGATGGACATCTTTAGTCCTTGGTTATGCAGTTGGATCCTCGTAGGTGCACCTTTGTTCCTGAAACAGAGTATTGCAAATGTATTCCCTGGGTTATAACACTGGCTCTGTTTAAGAAGTCTTGAGCTCAGTACAAACACAACATCCACCCTGAGGGCTTCTCAAAAAAAAAAATCCATATAGCTATCTTACAACACTTGTTTAGAATAAATACTTTGCCATTTCCTAAGAATAAACTAATTTAAATGTAAGGTAATTTTGGAAATAATCTATGAAGGAAAAAAAAAATCATACTTCTAAAGCTCTGAAAGTAGAAAATGTGTGTTGCACCTCTCCCAGTATTCATTTAAGGGATACCATTACTTTCTTATAAATATCATCTCTTTAAGGGGTACTGTCTACTGTTCATGCATGTGTGGTTTCCTTTAAAGTTTGTGAAATTTATGCTTCTCCTTAAGTAGGAGAGTACATCTCTCAGTCCTTTGCACAACTGGAATCTCAGTTGCAAAAATACATTGGTTGTCAGTTGCACCTTTGAGGAAAAAAAATACAAATACTTTCCTCCAGTTTTTCTTTTTATATTAGAATTCTGCCTTTTTATTACTAACATTAAAAACAGTGAGGTTTATGTTGTCTTAAGCTAGTGCTGTATTCAGTTTTGTATCTATAATGAATGTTTAAAATATACATATGTAAACTGGTCATATTATTAGTTTTCTTAATCTTTCAGAGATACTGAAAGTGACTAAAACTTTAGGGGCACCTCCACTTCCCAGCTTTTTATGGAAAGCATAAAATCGAGTATTATGTTCAATATCCAATTGGGATTTCCTTCTAAACTCATCTGTTTGTTTCTGTGTTCTTTTGCATTCATTGTCCATATGAAAAAGAAGCGGATAATAAAACATTGCTTTGTTTTGCTAATTAAGACTTACGCTTTTTGCTTTTTTGTACTTCACATTGAAAAATGCACACTGCAATATTTGTGTCAACATGGAATTACAGACAAATTACTTGGCAAAATAGATACTAACCAATGCTCTCTACTCTTCTCCTTTTCATCTCATGTTTTATGGCAACAAACTGTAAGGACGTTTCTTTAATGAGTTAATACAACTTTGCAAAGCATGCAATATTTTCTATGTTTACCAATACCAACTAGTACTATTTTCCAACCGTATCAGTTTTCCTAAATTAAGTAGCAGTCTTCTGACTGAATTATTTCTGTTTGCTCCACTGCATTTTACTGAAAGCTTCATACAGATACTTGGTTTTGTTCTGAGTTTTTTTCTGGACTAGCTTGGAAAAATTCTTAGTTGGACAGAAAGAATATGTAGGGTTAAAAATGTACACATGTTATCTAATCCTCTGTAGTTGATGCAGCGGCTTGGTAGCCTGAAATCTCATCAGCAGGAGGAAGGGAATTGGGACACTGTTTTCAAAGACTCTGCAATCTCTTCCAGATGTGTCAAATGCTGCATATTTTCCTTGCTATTTCCTGTGAGCTTGGTTAGGAGCAGCTGGCTCTGTGGTTTAGAGACACCTGGCCAGCTTTGCTTTGTGTCTTAGCTGGGGCCGGGGGGCAGGAGGAGAGGGGAAGGGAAGCTCCAGTATCGCAGTGAAGTTGACTGTAAACAGATTTTGTATGAATGCAAATAAGACTTTGAAGTTTGGGGCAAAAAGAGCTGGGGGAGGGGGGAGGTGGGGAGAGAAAATTCCATTTTATTCGAGCAACTGGCATGAACGTAATTTCTTTATTTTTGTCATCTACTTGTATTGATGTGGATGCCACAGGAAGGTGGACATCTTGAATATGATTTAAGTAGCCTGCAACTCTATTAACACATTTCGGAAATGATCCATCATTCACACTTCCAGTCCTCTTATGGAGAGGAGGTTGTCCCCAAGCTTTCACTTTGCTGTCTTACCTAGAGTATGAACACCGTCGTCATCCTGCAACACCTTTTAACCTGGTTTCAACACCCTACGCTTTCTGGGTCCACTTCCCACCTTTTGAATGATGACAACAGGTCAGGAAGAGTGGTTTTATTAATGTGCTATCCTAACATCAGAAAGCTTTTAATCTCTTTTCCACTTTTTGAGAATGTTTTCCTGTAATACTCTGCATTAGTCCCTCCTGTGTGGTTGCTTGCATTGTTCACTTGAACAAAAAGTTCATCTCATGAAATTACTCTTGCTTCCTGGACTTTTGAAGAGAAGGTGAATAACCTCTGGTATGGAAATAGATATCTCTCAATAAGGAAGAAAAAACTTCTAATCCTGCTAAAATGTGATTAGAATATGCACACAGCTACCCAGAAGCAGTGGAGTCCAGGGTATTGTTTGTCCTATGTATGTTGTTCTTTTCCATCATCCCAAGATCCTTATCTTTTTCCTTTATATTTCCAAGGATACTTTTACCATCTGTATCTTCTCTGCTTAGCATACCTTTTCCACTTCCATACGCCTTCTCCTTTCTCTGTGCACGTGTTATGCACCCTGTAAGGACAAGCAGAAGGCTGCCCTACTGCATGTTGGCTGCAGTTAATAAATAACCCACCTAGCAATTTCTAATTTTTTTTTCTTATCTGCAATGATGCTTTGTATTTTCATACGTCCATATTTTACAGATAAGCCAGCTTTTTAAAATCAATGACTTTGCGACAACTGAAAATGCTTAAAATATGTGGCTGTGCCATCCATCTGTTGTAAGTATTGCATATGCAAGTAGAACTAAAACAGGGGCAGAATTTGTTTTAGGTATGTTTTCCTTTAGCTCCTGAAGTGTCTGTATGATCAACTTTAAACGTTTTTTTGATATGTGATTTTTTTTTTTTTTTTTTTCCCCCCCCCCTTCCCAAAAAAAAAAAACGTCAGCTTTCCTGGGTTTTTTTTTTTGGGTTTTTTTTTCCCTTCGATTAGCATTTCCTTTCTTAGCGCTCCTGTTCCTTGTGAGGATATTAGGTAAAAGTACACACATTGCACACATTGCAGAGCAAGGACTTAAGGTTGGGGGAAGGATAGTAGCAGAATTTGTGTATGTTTTCCTTTAGCTCCTGAAGTGTCTGTATGATCAACTTTAAACGTTTTTTTGATATGTGATTTTTTTTTTTTTTTTTTTCCCTCCACCCTTCCCAAATAAAAGAAACGTCAGCTTTCCTGGATTTTTGTCTATGGTATATTTTCTCCATAAGGAAACTTGCATGCAGTGAGGCTTATAAGTTTTGCAAACAGTATCAGCTCTCCAGCTATTGTTCAAAAATTGGTTTTTTATAAAACAGAAAGGTATCTATTCAAAAAAGTTTAAAATGTTTTGGTTCTTTTATATCGAGGGATGGTTACAGTTACCCCCATGTTTTTACATCTGTTCTTGTAGTCTTCACTCTTAATTTTTCTTGTGGTCAAAGAACCACTGTGTTTGGGGGCATATCCTTAGTGTAATAGGAGAAGTTGTTCATTGATTCTTCATTAGACGTGGCTGCATAGATGCCCATCCTTCTTAATTTTCTAGGTTGGTGTAGTCTCGTGACTTCCAAATGCCCAGTTTCACATGGAACAGACTGCTGCTGCTATAAATTGTTTATTAGTAAAATAACTATAAAGCAAGCTTCACTTGCATGTGTTCATTAATTGAGTCATGTCATTTAACATAATTGCAGTAGCATTGCTGGTCAGTCCGCTTCTGCTGCTGCTGTATGTAGCTGATGAGAGCTCACTCCTGGAGTCTGAAGTCTTCGGTGTATTTTTTCCATTAGTGGTGACCTGGTGTTTGAGTGAAGTCCGCAGGTCTTACTGATGGAAGCGTTACTGGAATAAAGCCAGTGCTAATCATTGTGTAACTGGTAGCATGAGCATCTGCAGCACCATTGCTTAGCTGGTCTGCTCTTCTTTGAGTCTCTAACTGACTGCTAATTAATGAATTAATTTGGCAATGGGTCTTGCAACTTTCATAGAAAGTCTTTATATAGATTTTCATCTTAAAGGATGACGAGTTGCTTTCGATGGATCAAATTTACTTCTGTACCTCTTGGAACAAGGAACTTCTGAAGACAGCCTTATCAGTTCACTTCTCCATATACATAGAACAATGGAAATCATTTCTGCAGATTAAATTGATAAGCCAAATATTACTATGTCTACCTGAAATGTGAATCAGAACCCACCTAAAAGTTGTTACTTTGAGGATAGTCTGACACTGTGGTTAAGCAAAACCAGGAATTTCTATTGTAAATAATTATCAGCAGTCAGTTGTAGTGTTACTCTACTTTGGATTCTCAAATGCTGCTTTTTTTTCCCTGAGGAGTCAAAGTTTTGTTGTTTTTTTTTTTTGTAGGAAACTCGCAACAATTATGCCAGTTCTGCTGGTGTTCATCATAACATGGGCATATGTTAAATGCAAGAAACCCCAACAGCATAATCCCATGGTTAAAAAAGTGTATGCATTCAGGAGACAAATGTTTCTGAATTCTGATTGACAGCTGACATGACGTGTTGGACTTGGCAGGTTACATATGGCTTAGCTCAGGTCTCTGCCCGATTCCTCCTTCGTAAGGATAGTGAGTGCTGCTGATCAGTGTGCTCTGGGTACATCATGGGCTCAAGCTGAGATTGCTGCATGTTAAGCAGAGATTCACTGTGAAGGGAGCAAGAGAAACAAGGGGAGGAGTGCTTGGACCTTTTTAACTCTGGGTTTGCAACAGCTGATGTAGCAGGTGTTTCTGCAAGATGATGGTAGCACATCTGAGTGCAGTGCTCACCCCCTTCCTCCCCAGTTGACCAGCCACTTTGTATACCTACGTAATCTGTGAAAACGGCCCT